CTGCTGCTGCTGAACCTCCGGATTCTGCCCTCGGGTGCGCCGGTCGAGCTGGTCCAGCGCGCAGCCGCCACACGTGCCCAGCAGCCACTCGAAGCGCGGCGTCAGCAAGCCATCCATCGGCGGCCCGGCCAAGCACTGTGCGCGCCCGTCCGCGGGGCCGCAGCCAGAGTGCTGGCACGGGAAGCGGAGGGGCACGCACCAGGGGAGTGATGGCACAAAGGAGGGGCACGCACGGGGGGCGACGGTGGCCTTGCGCAGAGGTGGCCACCCCAAGGCGGTTCCCGGAGAACCCTACAGTCAACCCATGTAGTAAGCATGCGCGGTAAGGATGCAGGAGCTTTGGGAAGCCGTGTTGGCGTGTTCCGAGCGGGGCGCGGCCGAATACCGAAGGATGCAAGGGCACCCTGAGGCAACGCCATGCCTGCCGAACTGGCGCCTGGGCCACAGGCGAGGCCAACGCAAGGACGCACGAACGAAAGTTGCTCATCCTTACTAGGCGGGCTGACCCGCAGGGTGGCCTTGCGCAGGCTCTGGGGGGGGGGGCGTCGAGGCGCTGCCTTGGCCCGGGGCGGCGCGCCCGCCGGCGAGGCCGCGGCTGGCGTGCCCGCAGCAGACCACATGACATCGGCCTGGGTGCCTTTTTGCCTCCGTTTCGGAGCACGTGGAAGCGTTCCGTGCAGCAGGGCTCCCCGGAGCCGTCAGAGACCGCTCTGGTGTGAAGGGCAAGCCAGGACGGACCCCGAGAGGAGGAGGAGGAGCAGGAGGAGCAGGAGGAGGAGGAGGAAGAGGAGGAGGAAGAGGTGGGGGAGAAGGAGGAGCAGCCCCAGACAGCAGCTGACCCGCAGGGTGGCCCTCGGTAGCCTCCAAGGAGAGGATTGAAGCGTCCTGCCCAATACGTTGGTGCGTACCCTCCCATGCCCCCCCAACCCACGAAGCATGCGTGAATCAGGCCGCCAATGGCACTGTTTGGGGTCACATTGCCTTTTTACTGAAGCATCGTTGGAATACACAGCACTTGGGTCAAGGCTGCCTCCACCAATCACACCTCGTCGAGAACTTCGCCTCAGACACTCCCAACGCCTCCGATAAGCCCTGGAGGCCCCAAGAAGGCTCCAAAGGGTCCAGAGGAAGCCTCCACCTCCGCCTCCTCTGCCTCCTCCGCCTCCAAGTGTTCCCAACGGGTTTCCACAACGGCTGGGGGGCCCAATAGATTGGCCCGACTTTGGCCCAACGTCTGACAAAACAGGCGTTTTCAAAAGGCAGGGGGCGGCGGTGGCACGCCGTAGCCGTTTTCGATGATTGTTTGAGTTGTTGGCTTGTGCACCCAGTCGACCAACGTGGAAAGTGATTATCATCCCTCGCCTTGGACAACCAGCGGCGCACCGTCGAGTATAAACGCCAGTGCTGGGTGCAAGTGTTCTGGAAAACTGATGAGCAAGACTGAGAGGACAGGCCGCAGGGAGATCTATTACCCCATCGTCTTGAAGAACGTGACGCTCCGAGTCAAATCCAGCTGGGGTGAACAACGTCTGGTCTGCGGCGACGAGCGTGTCAAGAGAAGAGCGCATGGCCGAGCGGGAGAATGATCAAACAGCTTAGATCGAGTCTGGCGTGATACACGAGGCGGAGGGCGCGAGAGAGGCAGCGGACGATGCTGCCCGGCAGGCCGTCCCACCAGCCCGCCCGCCCGCAGCGCCATGTGCTCACGCGTGAGGACCGCTCCGGCGGCCTCGGAAGCGCGCCTCGGGACGGGTAGGGATCGGAAGCGGGCTCGGTGAGGCGTGGGCCACGGCAGCAAACACCAAAGATGCAGTGGGACTCGCCCCACTCCTGGTGGGCGAGCTGGAGGGGGGAGGGCGAGAAGGATGGAGAGGAGGAGGACGATGAGGCGACGGCGGCACGTTCCCAAACAGGACCGCCCTATCTCCCTTCGCGCATTCCTCGGCCCCTCCTCCTCCTTCTCCTCCTCCTCCTCCTCCTCTTCTTCCTCCTGCTCGTCGCCCTCACCCTCGCGCCCCCTCGCTATCCCCCTCACTTTCCTCCTCCTCCTTTGCCTCCTCCTCCTCCTCCTCCTCCTCCTCACCTTCGTCCTCCTCCCCTCCCTCATACCTCTTCCCGCAGGGGTATGTTTGGTGGGGCAACTGGGGCAGGTTTTTGTCTCTTCGGCATTTGGTGATGGATCAGGCTTGCATGGCCCCTCGCTCTGGATCATCAGGTGTAGACGATCTCTTGCATTGGTGGATCGACGGGGGTATCCTATTACTTTGGCTTTTGGAGTCTTTCCCAGTCTAGTCCAGTGTGTGTGTACCAGGCGCCGAAGCGTGTGCGTTCCCCTAATATCTTAAGCGTTGTGCTCGTCGGGTAGATCAAGGATATCATTATCATCTTGACTGCCAATTGGTGGTGGACAAGTTCTCTCACCCTATGAATCCCTCTTGCTTTGGTATGTGTGTATGATGACCCCTGGCACGCCATCCATGATAAGGCTAGCGACACTTCATAGGATGTGATGCATATATTTGAAGATGCAGTAACCGATGCTGACGGTCCCGTGCTAATGCAGTAGCCGACGTGTTTGCCAAATGAGAAGCTGCTCGACGCGTGGTTGAAGAACCAGCCGTGATTCGCTTTAGCGTAGCATCTTGGCAATGCTGAAAAAGTTCGTAGAATATGTGAAGTATAAGGCCTTGAAGTTATTTGAGAAGTGCCCAAATCCCCCCCTCCCCTCTGGGGTTACCCGCTCCTTGGTTAGTTGTTGGGGTCCCTGTATATGTTTCCAGCGCCACTATTTGGGGAGGGGAAGAAAGGAAAGAGGGAGATGACGCGAGCCATCGATGAACATATTACCCATTGTCTTCCTCTGAAAGCCTGCCACCGAGTGGTGTGGGACACGAGCACTTCAAGGTACAGTCGTGTACCTGGCTGGGCTTCCAGTCACGACACATACGCCCTCTCGCGTGTCGAGTGTCATGACCCAGAGGGCTCTGGCCATGTGCTCAGAGAATATGGCCCTTCTGTTGTCTGTCGTGCTTGCGGCCATTACATTGCCACTAGTATCCATAAGCTGTAACATGTATGTCCGAAGAGGGCTCGAGCTGACATTACGAAGCGTCGACTTGCCACATTGATGAATGAAGTGGATCCACGCACAGACGCTGATCTAGTAGCCTTCACCATCTCATGCCCTCAAGCGTCTGATGATGTAAGCGAGCATGATACTCCCTTTGATGTGGTTCCCTACTACTTGGAGATGCAAGTATTGACGTACTATATGGCTCGATTGAGGTCCTGGCAGTATGGGTTTGTGGATGTTCGGTGTGCCATCTCCAGGCCCCGCACCGAACCTGGCTCGTGAATCAGCACTGGTTCTGCTGCCGCGCCCGTGCCTGCCAGCGCACGCGGGCCACTGCCTGTTTTGCTCCATCGTTCGATGTCGTGCCGTCATTGGTTGTTGATTTGTTTTTGTTCTTGTGCTCTCTCTCTCTCTCTCTCTCCCTCTCTAGTAGTATAATTTCTTTTTTTCCCCCCCCCCTCTCTCTCTCTCTCCCTCTCTAGGAACTGGGCTCCGACGTGAAGGCTTCGCCACGTCTTGTGTCTCGAGTCCCCTCCTCCCGCCGCCCGCCTCCCACCCTTGGACATGGGCCCGAGGCGGCGGAACGCCTCCCTCTGGCGGGGAAGCGGCGGAGGCGGCGGCGGAGGGCGGGCCGGCCTACGCCGTGGCGCACGCCGCGCACGCGCCGCCGACGGTGTGGTCGGGATGAGAGAGACGGTGGAGGGAAGAAATTAAGCAGCACTCCCCCCTCCCCGCAGATCAAAGTTGGCACGTTCCTCGAAGACCACTCGGAGGCCCAAAATAAGGAAGACCCGAAACCAACATTGCGTTTCGGGGGGAGGGTGGGGGAGTTCAAACCATCTGTTCTGCATGAGCGTTGCCTAGTGGTTTCTGACACCTATATGTTCTGCATGAGCGTTGCTTAAATGTTTCCGACACCTGGAGTGCAGGCGGGAGCGAAGTGGCAAGGAGGCGCTGGGGCTGGGATTCTCGCTTGGCTGTGTGGTGCGGCTGTGTTTCACGAAGCTTTCAACTATAGCCAGGGTCCAGTATCCACAAACAGCGCCTTCAAGGCCGAGGTGTCTCCTGAGTGTTCGCGAATCCTCCTGCTCCTGGTTGGCCTGCGCCTTCGGCGTCGTCGTCGTCGAGCTTCTCGTTGTCGTCGTCGTCGTCGTCGTCGCCCTCCTGTTACTGTTGCTGTTGGCTTCAGGGTCGAATACGACGCAATCATCCTGGTCCTCCTCCCCATCCCCCTCCTCCTCCTCCTCCTCCTCCTCCTCCTCCTCCTCCTCTTCCGCATATATCCGCAACCGCGTCATTCTCCTTCTCGCCGTCGCCCTCCACCCTTCCACTACACCTCACCCTCTTCCTCATTCCCCCCTCCTCTCTTCCTCCCGCTCCTCCTCCTCCTCCTCCTCCTCCTCCTCCTCCTCCTCCTCCTCCTCCTCCTGTTCCTCCTCCTCCTTCTCCTCCTCATCCTGCACCTCCTCACCTTACTCCACCTTGTCCCCCTCTTTCCTCCCTCCTGGCCCACCCCTCCCTCCCTGCCTCCCACCCCGCCCCGCCCATCCCCCCCCCCCTCGCCTCCCGCCCCGATGCCGGCCCCGAGAAGCGCAGGGCGGCGGCCTCTCGCTGGCCCGCCACGGGCAGCCGCGCGCGGAAGAGGCCGCCCGCGTAGCCCTCCGGCAGCTCCTCCCGGTGCTTGCGCGACATGCGCTGGTTGGCGAACACGGAGGCGTCTGTGAGGTCAGAGGCCTCCCGGATGGGGTCCGAGCAGATGGGGTCGGAGGATCGCGCCGCGTCGGCGATGCATCGGTGACGTCGGCGATGCATCGGCCCCGACGGCGCGGAGAACGTCGGGCTCCACATCGAGCCGCATCGGCAATGCATCGGCACTGCATCGGCAATGCGGCGCGATCCTCCGACCTCATCTGCTCGGGCCCCATCTGGGAGGCCTAGAGATGTACAGCGTCCTCAGATCGTCACCCCCAAAAGCGATGCTGAGGACAACACAACCCACCTCCCCACCCCCACCCAGGACCCGTACTCCCGACCTGGTGGTCCAGGGGGTCCTGGCTAGAGTTCTGAAGGGGCCCTGGGACACACAAATAAATACACACAAGTAAAAGGATTCCCATATTTTCCTAGATTTTCTGGGTTTTTGTCTTCGCCCCCACTTCCCATATTTTCCTATACTTTCTTTGGAATCGACGATTAATCCTGGGGGTAAAAAAAACAACCCTCCATCCCAGCTGGGACCCCCTGCACGACCAGGTCGGGAGTGGGGGCCCTCGCTGGGGGAGGGGCGGTGGGTTGTGCTGTCCTCGGATGCAGGTGGTGTATCTGGCCGGCACGCGCACCACCATGTCCGCTGTGCCGTCCATGCGATATCGCGTCACGCACCCGCCGCCAAATTCGGCGTTCCAGAGGCAGCCCTCCGAATCGATGACGGAGCCATCCGGCCTTCCTCCAGAGACAGCGAAGGGGCTGGGCGGGTCCGTCATGCCATTCGACTCGTACTCGGGGAAATGCCAAATAGTCGACACCGACGTGCCGCCAGTGTCGTCCGCCAGGGCGGGGTCTGCAAACGCCATCCCGAGAGCCGCAGAGAAGCATATGGAGTTGCCGCAGCGGACCGAGCCGCGCAACTTCTCCACCGAGAGGTCCGTGTTGACACGGTATACCCCAGAGAGGGGCTCGTCGCCCCTCTCGACGCAGCCCGCGGCGACGAAGCGGCCCTGCATGTCAACTCGGCCGTCGTTCAGCCGCGTCGGAAGCCCAGGTTCCAGCACCCCGCCGACGCGCTCCAGCACGCCTGGGGACCCCGGGTCCCAAAACGCGAAGCCGTCCTCGAAGGCGAACAGGTAGGACCCGTCCTCGGTGAGACAAAACGAGCCAGCGCGAGCGGGCAACTCGAAGCTCTCTGCATCAGCGGCGGGCCCGTCAGGGCGGTACCGCCAGAAGCGCCTGCCCTGTATGTCACGCCCCCTGAGATCCCTCGGCTCAGCGATCTGGCCCCTGAGCGTGCACCAGTTCAGTGATCCTCGCCTCCCCAGTCGCCGTGGAGACGCTCAGGGGCCAAGGGAGGGAGGGAGGGAGGGAGGGAGGGAGGGGATCGCGGAGCTGAAGGACCTCAGGGGGCGTGCATGTCGACCCAGCACAGCTCCGCCCTCCTGTCGTCCCAGAGCGGGCACTCGCCCAGGCGGTTGCCGCACGGGGCGCACAGCTCGGCCACGAACTCCCGCGGGGCTGGCCCCGGGGCTCGAGCGCGGAGCAGCGCCGCGGGCGAGGGGCGGCGCCTGCCAGGGCCCGGGGCGCGCCGAGCGTAGCGCCCGAGCCCGCGCGCAAGCTCGCAGCCCTCCATAAGGGAATCGGCCACGAGCCCAGTGGGGGAGAGGGGAGGGGGGCGAGCCTCCTCGGAGGTCGGCGGGGCAGTCAAGCCATCGTGCTACCAAGCAGGAGCACATGATTGAGAAACGAAGGGCCGAGGGGGCTGTTCTGGCCACGACGGGCTTGGGCCAGTCGGCGGGGCTTCTGAGAAGCCCTCCGGGCCTTCCGAGAAGCCGCCTCTGTCTTCGGGGAGGCCCCAAATACCTTCCCAGTAGGCCAAAGGCTCTCCGAGCCTCCTGAGAAGGCCCGTGCCCCCACCCTCCCGACTCCCCCCCCTGGGCTCGCCGCCGGTTCGCAGAAGCGAACTGGAAGAACTCATAAGCCTGGGATGCCCCCCCAAGAAACCACACGAATACGGCTCAACGTTACACGCTCCAGGCGCACGTTCGGCGTATGACCTACGCAACTGCTAGAAGCAGCAAGCGAAAAGGAAACATGCGGGAAGGCGAATGCCTCGAGCGCACCACGTCTAAACACATACCAGCAGAAGGGAGCACCTCGATCCCCCCTCTGCACGATCACGCACAAACCCCGCACCGCAAGGCAATGAACCACTCCGTCTTTCCTCCATCCCCTCCTCTGGGGGACCAAATGCGAACCCTACCCCTACCCCCCACGATTTTTGAGGGGGAGGGTGGGGTTCACTTCGCTCGGGAGCTCCCGAACGATGTGAACCCCACCCTCCCCCTCAGAACTCGTGGGGGGGAGGGGTAGGGTTCGCATGTAGCCCCCTACTCCTCCCCCACATTTTCGGGGGCATCCGGGTGGGTCCAAAGCCCCGCCAGCAAGCGGGAGTGCCGAGTTCTGCGGGTCAAGCTCCACAGTCACGGCAGCCACCTGCGAAGACACGCCCAAGACTTTGTAACTACCAATCCAACTTGATGGCACCCACGTGGTCAAATGTTTTGATGCTGATTGCTGGACACACGGGGAAGAGCCCAGTGAAAGAGACATCTGACCAAACAAGAACGGGAAGCGCCATTTTTACCACCGGGCTCTTGGAGCAAAAAGTGGCAGGAGTATGAGGACGAGCGGTTGAAGCAACACTCCCCCCCTGCGCAATTCAAGCTTAGAACGTTTACGCATCACCGCTCAGACACTCAAGCCAGGAAGATCAGAAACCAACATTGCATTCAGGACGGGGGAGCCCCAACCATATGTTCAGCGTGAGCATTGCTTGATCGATCCCACCAGCCTTTTTGGCGAAGGTGGTCTATCGATATCGTTGTTTCCTCTTCCAGGACCCTATTCCATTCGGGGAGGTGTACCCTTCCCCCTCCCCTCCCTGAGGTTTTTGGCGGGGGGGCGCGAGATGGCAAAGGGTCCTTTTCGCTTATGTTGTTCCCATCCTACTTAAGGACCGCATCCCAGAAATAATTTCGAGCACCCGGAAAAGTGTCAAAAGAGTGTCGAAGCAGTGTCGGGCGAGTGTCTCCCAGGGCCCGACACGTGAAAACCCTTGAGTTTCGGTGCTTTTTTGGTTCTCGAACTTCTTTCTGGTGATCAAGGCTAAAGTAGGTTGGAGCATCATAACTTTTCGCCCAACGATGCTCCAAGGTGGGTCAAGATGGCCGAAAATGGTTCAAGCCAGCCTCCGACATGCCTCCAAAGGAGCCCGACGAGGGCCACAAAACGGCCCCGGGCGTTCTCGGAGCCCCCCATAGGGGGCCACATGCGAACCCTACCCCTACCCCCCACGATTTCTGAGGGGGAGGGTGGGGTTCACTTCGCTCGGGAGCTCCCCCAAGACCCCGCCCCCCCCCCTGGAGTCCAACATCCTTCCAACACACAAGGCAAATCAATGGTGCGTGCCTTCTCGCCTTGTCGCCTCCGATGCGCGCTCGGGGCCTCAAAGGGGGCCCCAAGATGACCCAGCAAAAAGCCCAGGAAAGGGGCAACAGGCGGACCCCCAGAAGGCCCCAAGAGCGCCCAAGATCGGCCCAATGACACCCCCAGAGGCGATTGTGGTGGCCCCAGGAGGGGGGCGGAAATCTAGGACCCCCACCCCTCCTTTGATGAATGGCCTCCAATATGGCCCCAAGAGGCTCCAGGGATCACAAAAGAGGGCCCCAAGAGAGCCCCAACAAGGACCCCAGAGGGCCCCCAAAGCGCTCCAAGAGTGTCCCACGAGGCCAAGAGGCGGTTTCTGAACAGGCTGGTGGGAATGCGCGAAGCGTGAAAGATTGTTTCCGGCACCTGAGAGTGAGCGGATAACGTGGATGACAGCATGGAAGACGAGGAAGACAGCAAGGTGGAGGACTGCGACGACGAAGTCAAGCACGAGGGCAAGATGGTAGAAAACAAGGCTGACAAGCACGAAGAGGAATGAGAATGAGGACGACGACGACGACGACGACGACGACGACGACGACGACGACGACGACGGCGGCGACGACGACGACGACGACGACGACGACCGCCACCACCACCACCACCACCACCACCACCACCACCACCATCACCACGAACACGACGAGCACGATGACGAGGACCCCTCCTTCCTCCTCCCCTGAAGGGACCAAAAGGTACCGAGACCGCTGCTCCCTGGACCTCTCTCTTGGGACGCGTTTTGACCAAAATTTCGAGGCGAATCCAGGCGGCGACGAGAAGGCGAAAACGATGAAGGATACAGGCGAGAATATCATGTGGTGTTCCAATGTGATCACGCTCATAACCCGCCGACCTCCGCTCCCAGAAGGTATGTAACCGTGTGAGATCTTGCTGCCCCGCTCCCCCTACCACCCTCCCCGAGAGCCCGCGATTAAGCCACGAACCACTGACGACCCCACAAGCAACCCACCCAAAAACAACTACACAAGAACTATTCCGCCTCCAGCCTCTGGAACTCCACAACAGCCTCCGCAGCGCAACAGTGGCAACGAACACGCAGGCAAACGCCAGCGATGCAGCACTATGGGCTGGTGGAATGGGCGAAGCGATTCAAAAATAAGGACGCACGATAAGGATGCAAGGGCCTTGGAGAGCCATGTCGACACTTTGAGAGCGGGGCGCGGCCAGCGAAAGCGGCCAAGGATGGGCCGAAGGGGAAGGATGTAGGGGTAACCTTGGACGGTATTTCCTCCTCTGATCCCACCCTGAAAGTGTCCTCCCCGCCAGAGCCCGCAGGAGCCAGACCCTCCATGGCAGCTTCGGCAGCCCCGCGGGCGGCGATCAGGCTGACGAGGAGCCCCTCCCCCTGTCCCCCCCCCCTGGATTTTCCTGCCCCCCCGCTCCTCCTCCTCCTCCTCCTCCTCCTCCTCCTCCTCGTCCTCGTCCTCGTGCTCGTCCTCCTCCTCCTCCTCCTCCTCCTCCTCCTCGTCCTCGTCCTCGTGCTCGTCCTCCTCCTCCTCCTCCTCCTCCTCCTCCTCCTCCTCCTCCAAGCCCCTTTCCATCGAGAGATTGTCAGAGGGGGGGCTCTCCGCGCGCGACCCGAAGCTTTCCGTTGGCCGCCACCCATGGGAATCTTGTCTGTGGCTCAGCGGGAGGGGTGGTAAGGTGATGTCTTCTTTGAGAATTTTTGGATTCAATCCCACGCATGCCTCTGGAGAGCGCCTTCCTGAACTCCTGGGAGAGACACGGAACTTCGATCTGATTTTCTAGCGGGTACGCAGCAGGTGGAACACAATTCGTTGGCTCCACATGTGCAAAGTTCACGATGTGCAGGGAGACTGTGTATTTCTGCTCCGTACTTCCCGTCGCCGCTCAGCAATCACAGCTGTGGCTGCTCCCTCGCCTTCAGCCCGCAGGTGCAAGCTCGACACCTTCTACGGACATGGGCGCCCCCACCCGAGGCTCGAGGCATACGGCTCGGTTGACATGTGTGGTATTGTGTGCTATTTCCCACCCCGTCCAAAAGTTCGAGCTGAGCACGGGGGATATTTCAAAACGGTTTCCAGGCTGATTACATGGTTGGCTGCAGTTCTATCAGTTCTCCCAGCTCGCTGTTCCCCATTAGTTTATTGCGATCTTAATGATGGGATAGGTGAAGCTCGATCGGACGGAGTGTGGGCGTCAGTCGATTCCCCTGTGGTAGGCATCGCGAACAAAGAAATGTATGTGAATGGTGCAGGCCATCAGATGAGGACGCTGATGGAGACTCACGAGATGGTGGCGGGGAACACTTTCGGCACCGAGCTTGAATCGATTTTTTTGGCACAACGGGTAATTCAAGAATTGAGTACCTTTTCCTTCCGCAAGCAATGCATGAATCAGTGGTCACATGTCGGGCACATTATCGCTTGGGCGCCAAGCTTCAGGCCATTCGGGAAGTCTCACCAAAGGACCACATCCCGATTGTGGCGGTCTTGCGATATGAGAAGCATGGTGGAGCAGTTATTGACACACCTCATCGAGATGAATGGGATGTTGATCGGCTGATGCTTTCACTGCGAGAGGGACACGGACGCGCAGAGTACCTGTCGACGCTGAAGACGCGCTGTGATTCCCTACAACTGCAGTGGTTTAGAGATAATGCTTCACCCGATGAGATCTTCGAGGCGCTCGAACGAATAGTATGAGAGTCTGGGCAGGCTTGTTTTCTCGAGCTCGTGAGCTACGGCCAGAATACTCAGCGGACTGTGCACGACGGCGCAGTCTCTTGGCACAGCGAGTTGAACTCAGGAGTGGCAAGTATCAGGCTTCACCTGAGGAGGCTCTCCGCATAGATCAGGAGTTGAAGGATTTAACCCACCAGCTCTACCTTGATCGACGCCGTGCGACACGACGGCTCCGATCTCAGCTTGCTTCCGAGGCGGTGGAGCTCTGGCACAAGGGGCGTGCAGCTGAAGCAATGCGACTGGCTCGACGTGCTGCCCGTACTCGGTACGGGCCGAAGCGACGTGACGGTCGACTCGTCCGATGTGCTCCCCCTTGTCGTGAAGCTTGGCTAGCGGCTAGCAGTGTGGAGCAAGTCTGGGGCAGAAGGGGGCATGGAGGTGGTAGAAGAATCCTGGGACAACTGGAGGGACTCTAGGGTGGACACAGGAGTTTACTACGCCGACGTCTCAAATGAGGAGATTCTGGAACTAGCTAAAGAAGATGTACAAGTAATCCGCAAATATGCTAGACGAGCTCCTAAAAGAAAATCAGTCCCCGCTGGAACGGCACCTTTGGAGATCTGGCATCAATGTATGTGGCCTAACTATCGTGTTCGTACTCGGGCTGGGGTGGGAGCTGAAAATAAGTTGATATCGCCGCAAGGTGTTTGGTTTCTTCCCGGCCTGGGCTTAGCAAAAATGCGGGAGTACCAGGAGGTGCCACTGTACTTGAACAAGTCTAGGGGCGCGAACATTCCCAAAAAGCTGGAGGAGGGCCCTAAGGGGGTGCGAGTGGTTCACGTCCTGCCCTTCGTGGGCAAAGCTTTTTTCTCCAACAAGCTGAAGGTTCAACCGACGGTGGCCGACCACGGCTTCGTAAAACATCGACGGCGAGAAAATGCAGTACTAACTACATTAACTACAGGATGGCGGGCTAGAAGGATGGGTATTACTCATTGCAACACGTTTAAGGACATGAGCAATGCTTTTTCAAGTTCGACCTGGTCTGAACTCGACCAGACTGTTTCTCTTGCGGCAGCGGCGCACGACCAAGGCCTGTCGTCAGCGCTACCGCTCGGCCATGATTGAGCTTGACGCACAGGAGGGGCCCCTCCTCGTGCGACCACGGTGCGGAGGTCCTATGGGAGATCCTTTTACAGTGCAGGGCTTCCTGGGCACCTTCTCGAGAGCAGTACTAGGTTGGAGCTATTCACTTCTTACAGCAGATGAGAGGTCACGAGATCTCGTCTCTTCGTGGGCCGGCCACGCGGCCGACTTGAGTTTGACCAAGTATGCCGATGACCTCCAGAAGATGATACTTGCCGATGAGGGCAGTACACTATGCGATTTCTTAGCTAAGCTTGGGCGGGTGGATGGTCTTCTAGATGAGGCTTTAGAACCATATGGATACGGGCAAAACGTGGGCAAGCAAGAGATGTTATTCCATTTCGCACATCATGACTATCACGCACGTCGCACACTCAGGAAACGCAGATCGACAATCCAGGGGAAGATTTCTGACTGTGTTCGGTACCTTGGGCCTTTTCTGAAATCTCGGGACACTGCACATCATGAGGTTTCTAGATGTTGTGAGATGGCAAGAAAGGCTTTTTATCGACTGGGCGGGGTGTGGTCACTAGCATTATCCTACAAATGGCGTCGCACTTTATTGCAGGGCCAGGTGTTCAATACTCTAATTAATGGCCTCGAACCGTTCGTGCTCCAGCAGAGTGTTATGACAGTTTGGATCGGTGCTTGGCCGCTCTATGTCGTACAGCAATGAGAGGTGCTGCCACCAACCAACGAGATGATGGCACAGTGCGCTCTCTCACTAACTTACAGGTTTTGCGTCATTGGCGTCTGACTGGAAGCAAAACCGAGCTCATCATTCGTCGCTTGAAGGTCTACCAGTCGTGGGCCGCCCGTCCTGCTTGGCACGCACAGCCTCTCTGCGCGATGTTCGGCACGCTTGGGATTGAGGAGAGGCTTGGATGTGAGCCCCAGCTTCAGGAGGGAGTTCCAACGGCTTCGGCTTCTCCGTGGGTGGAACAACTAGTTAGTGACCTGGAGTTTGCTTCGGAGCGTTTGGAATACTATGCGGTTGAAGAGCTTCTTTTGGATTTGAGGATCCTTTCAGACTCGGAGGCCGCATAGGACTTTGTAAAAATCGACTTCACAGAGCTCAGGGCCGGGGAGTTCGGGGTCAACATTCCTCCTCCAGGGTTTCGTATGGGATCTACTCAGGAGGGGGACGAGGTGGAGGACAAGAGGACGGGGGAGGAGGGCAACTACGTATGCAAGATCGTGGACGACAAGGGCAACATATGCAATGCAGTGGGTCATGATCGCAAAGCGTTGTTAAACCACATGCGTGCACATCACCACGTACGAAACCATCCAGCCGTCCTAACACCATGCAATCTATGTATACATTGTAGGCAACTATTCTCAACAAGGGTGGCCGCAGCTCGCCATCTTCTTGGGTCCGTTCTCAGACGCAACTGCTCGACGAGGGGTCCTACATCGTTGACGGAGCTTGTTCATCCCCAATATTTTGATTGTCCAGTGTGTGATTACAGAGGTGCTGATTTGGATTCATACTGCTGCCATTTAAGCTCACATCTCCCGTGGAAACTACAACCTTATCGACCGAGGCCTCCGCCTCCTGAGGGTTCGGTCACCACTGGTGCTGGGAGCCATGCCCGAGCTGGCGATGCCATCGTGGTACAACCCAGCGCAGGCGAGGCGCCCCGAGGGCGCCGAGGAGCAGCGCAGCAAGCAGGCGAAGGGCAGCGAGGGCAAAGGAGAGAAGCAGTATGGCAAGTTGCTCTTGCTGGTGGCGCAGCTTCTTCTGGCGACCACTCGCGGCATGGCGGACCTCGCGGCGGCAGTGTTCATCACCTACGAGATGAGCGCGGTGCAGGGATTCCCAGCAGCGCTCGTAGCTGCGGGCAAACAGTACGACGTCAAGAGCAAGGAGCTGGCGGACCGCGCGAAGGCGGGCGAGAACGTCGGGCGCGGATCACATCGAGGACGAGGGCCGCCACACTTGCACATCTTCGTGGCGGGCATCCACTACATCGCGACGAGGACCCACGCCGAGGGCGACAAGGCCGAGGAGGAGAAGCAGCTGAAGGCGGACGCGGAGGAGTTCTGGACCAACACCGTGGTGCACAGCGAGATTCTGAAGCTCGGAGCAGCAGTGAAGTACGTGCGTCTCAAGTTGCTCAAGAAGGACGAGAGCGACCAACGTTGCCTGGTGATCATGCACTTCGACGTGGACAGCCCGATCGGCAAGCAGGCGCAGGACCTTTTCTAGAGGATTCTGGAGACAGAAGGGGGGGAGCGGCTTCACGGCAGCGCGCCGCGGGGGCCACTGGAGAGAGAGATATCGTCTGCCGTGAGCGGCAAGTGATGTGGCGTAACAGTGAGAGACTGGCTTCTTTGATCGAGCGAGGTTTGATTTCTGATGAGGTTGCAGAGCGGGCCTTAGCGGGAGAGAGAAGCATGCCATCATCATATGATCAGAGTGAGTTGCCAAGCATTCCAACAGTAGTGCTGCCTCGTAGAGGCTCTGGCCGAGGGAGGGGGAGGGCGGTGAGTCGGGGGCGTGGGAGGGGAGAAGCACCGACGAGCGAGAGCCAGCAGTAAGAGCTAAAATGCTTACTCGTGCTGTCTCCCGTGCCGTCCAAGCCGGCCCTCAGCAGAGGTTGCGTGCCTCAGAGGTGTCGGCAGGCCAGTGCCTCACTTGAGGATCGTGAGTCACAGATTTCGTTTTCCATAAATTCCGTGAGGGTCGAAGCTACCCGTACCCAGAATCCCGTGCCACGCCGATGCTCTGTCTGACAGCTGCGGATTCCATGGGCTCGTCTCGTCTCGTCTCGTCTCGTCTCCTCCTCCTCCTCCTCCTCCTCCTCCTCCTCCTCCTCCTCCTCATTCTTCCCCCCCACCCCCCTCCCGGATTTTCCTCTCCGCCAGGGCCCGCCGGAGCAGGACACCACCCTCCGCAGCTCTGGCGGCCCCGCGGGGCGGCGGCAGAGCGCCCTCACTTGTCGTCGCCGGACCTCGGCGGCGCCCCGCGCGCCCCGCCTGCCCTTCGCGTCGCCGCCGCCGCCATCGCTGGTCGCTGTCGGTCGTCCCTCGTCTGTCGTGCGTCGTCGTCGTCGCTGGTCGCTGGTCGCTGGTCGCTGGTCGCTCGTCGTCGTCGTCGTCGTCGTCGTCGCCGTCGCCGTCGCCGTCGCCGTCGCCGTCGCCGTCGCCGTCGCCGTCGCCGTCGCCGTCGCCGTCGTCGTCGCCGTCGCCGTCGCCGTCGTCGTCGTCCTGGTCTTCGTCGTCGTCGTCGGTCGTCGGTCGTCGGTCGTCGGTCGTCGGTCGTCGGTCGTCGGTCGTCGGTCGTCGGTCGTCGTCGTCGTCGTCGTCGTCGTCGTCGTCGTCGTCGTCGTCGTCGTCGTCGTCGTCGTCGTCGTCGTCATCGTAGTCTGCCGTTCGCCATCGTCGGCCATTCGTGGTCGTAGCTTTCACCTCCTCCCCCCTTTTCCTGCCCCGCCTCCTCCTCCTCCTCCTCCTCCTCCTCCTCCTTCGAGCTTCGAGCTGCGGGCGGCGTCGAGAGATCGCCCCGATGCTTTCGATTCATCCTCTCAGCAGGTGCTGGAGGAGGGCTGAGCAAAAACCAAAATGTAGGGGAGAGCCGAAGAAAATATCCAAAGCTAGGTCACGACGAATATGATGCACTTGAGAGGCGGGGGGAAAGCGGGGGGGGGGCTGCCCATCCTCCTCCTTCTCCTCATTTTCTGCGATTAGAGGCCACTGGTCGTAAAGTCTATCCTGGGAAGCAACAGCAGAGGCAAAGGCAGCGGGGGCCAACGAGAGCAAACGCACGCCAGCAAGCCGTGCACCAAGGGACGCCACGCCGAATGAAGAGGAGGGACGCCCCGACTCCGAAGGGCGGCGACAATTCGATTACTCGAGCCCCCCCCCGTGCCCCGCACGGGAAGCTCGATCAGATCCTTCTCAGCGGACTCCCTCCCCACACCTCGGGACAGATAGGAATCACACGGGGCCCAAACATTCGCAACTTCAGAAGGAATGTCCAGCAGAGGGGACCCCCACATCCTCGGCCACCGAGAAAGATCGAACGCCTTGGCAACAACATAGCGCATGCCCGGCGGGAAGCACTCGGCGGGTGCAGTGCACCAGTCACCAGTCTCCGGTCGGCCCCTCAGAATCCCGCCCGCCCACCATCCTGGAGGGGCGGAAGATGGATGGTGGCAAGCTGGGTCGGTTTCGTAGACCCCCCCCACACATGCACCGATCCAGGCAGAAGGCTCTGGCCCCTGGAAGTGACAGAAGGTGTTGCAGATCGGGAAGCTGCCAGCACGACGGGGCGATGGGGGGATCAGCGGGCTTCTCGGGGCGCTCCATGGCATCAGGGACCTCGCGCGCCGCCGCGTGGTGCAGAAACACGACGCTCTCCCTCCTCAGGGCATTTCCAATGGCAGCCTGGCAGGGCACCACCCATAACTGACCCGCGTAACGCAGGGGCCTGGGGGAGGTGGGCTCATCGGGCCCAAAGCTAAAAGACGGGCTCTGCTCCATGTATCACAGAGGGGGCCCATCCACATCCCCGCGACCTTGCCGTAACGGGCCAGGGTCACCGAGGAATCTAAGGACCCTTTCCTTCGGAGGTCCCTCAATACGTCGTTGGCGGGCGATTCGCCTGCGCCGCTTTGAAGGCGGTCTGAAGGTTACCCTCTCGCCTGGCACCCCAAAAAACCTAGCAAGAAATACATGACCTCCTCTCCCATAGAACGAGCGATGGTCGTAACATGAGTGAGGGTAGCAGGACCTGCTGGTAAGTGCGCAGAAGCGAAATCATGATCTCCTCCCACTCCTTGAGTAGGATGCGCTGGCCCCGCAATCCTGCAGGCAGGAGGGTAAGCATAGAGCTCAGGATGGCCAGCTCTTTGGTTTTCACGGCGCTCCGAAACCATAACCTCCAAATCTTGCGGCATAGGCATGGGAATCTTGAGGTGGGCCCAGGTGATACAAGTCTGTCTACCCTTCTGGGCCCTCATGATGTGCTTATGGGTCCTTGAAAACGAATGATGCTCCCACACGCAAGCCTGACACGAAGTTCCGTTAGCCCCAGCAACACGGTCCAGGTCAGATGGGTGCCCACGCGCAGGATGGATCTTGAAGGCCCCTCTGTCCCGAACCTCTAACCACGCACGTAGCACACGTAGGCGACAGGGGGGGCGGCGGTGGGACCTCGCAAGGTGGGGACGTAACGCGGCCCCCGCGCACTCGAACCAACGGTTGGTGCCATTGATTAAGAAGAAACTCTCTCAACAGAAACCTGTGCTTGGCAATACTGGTGCATCCGCTTCGCTTCTGTCGGCCTTTGTCTGGCAAGACGGATCCACTCTGCCGGGTGTCTCGCCCAAGCAGTCCCCTCAGACCTCTGGTTGTATACGAGTGTATTGAGCCACGCGAAGTGGTCAACGATCATTTTTTGCTTCCAGCAAGAAACCCAGAGGGGCACGGGCGAGCAGTCTCGGGAGGTGTCTGAGCCTGCCGAGAGTGAAGCAGATAAGCGGCGGAGCACGATGAGCCTGAACAAGCATCTCCTGAGTGCGCTCATGTTCGGCCGAGTTGTTAGCCTTGGCCATCCCTAAGGTATACCCTTGGACAGCTATGCAGGCCTGGTTGAATCTAGACTCGCTCTTGTCCTGAAGCTTTTTTCCAAGCGGCACAATTTAAAGTAAACTTAGACAGGGCCAGGGCTTCGGCATGCTGCAGCGTATTTCCGATGATGAGCCTTGTATTTTGTCTCAGCGCCGTTCTTAGAGGGACAAAAGCTCCAGACGCGGACGTGGCCCACACCACACCCTCTGGGCCCATCGAACTGTTGTCCTTCCTTCTCATCTTCCTCCTCCTCCTCCTCATTCTACTCCTCCTTATCATCATCGTCATCCTCCTCTTCCTCATCCTCCTCCTCCTCATCAGCATCATCATCATCATCATCATCATCATCATCACAATCATCGTCATCATCTTCATCATCATCAGCATCACCATCATCATCACATCGTGATGATCATCATAAGCATCAGCAGCACCACCATCGCCATCACAATCACCATCACCATCACCATCACCACCACCACCTCATCATCACCATCACAATCACAATCACCATCACCATCACCTTCACCACAACCACCACCATCCTCATCCTCATCATCATCATCATCATCATCATCATCATCATCATCATCATCATCATCCTCAACCTGTATCCTCATCCTCATCATCAACATCAACAAAATCATCATCATCACCACCATCATCATCACCAGCATCATCATCACCATACTCATCATCACAATACTCATCATCAGCATCATCAGCATCACAATCATCGTCGTCATACTCATCATCACGATCACCATCACCATGACTATAACCATCACCATCACCATCACCATCATCACAAACATCATCGTCACCAATGTCGTCGCAATCATCAGCAGCATCAACAGCATTATCATCCTCATCATCGTCATCATCCTCATCATCATCATCATCACCCTCATCCTCCTCCCCACCCTCATCCTCATGCTCATCATCATCGTCAGCATCACCAACATCATCACCACCATTACCATCATCATCATCATCACCATCATCATCATCAGCAGCATCATCATAGCAATCATCAGCATCATCATCAGCAACAGCATTTGCAAAATCATCAACATCGCCATCGTCATCGACATCATCATCATCATCAGCAGCATCATCATGCTCATCATCATGCTCATCATCGTCATCCTCTTCATCATGATCATCCTCATCCTCATCCTCACCTGCATCCTCATCCTCATCGTCACCACTACCATCATCAGCATGATCGTCACAATCACCAGCATCATCGTCAGCATCCCCGTCACCACCATCATCATCACCATCGTCATACTCATCATCACAATACTCATCATCATCAGCATCATCAGCAGCAGCATCGTCATCATCATCGTCAGCACAGCATAAGCATCAGCATCAGCATCATCATCATCATCATCATCATCATCATCATCATCATCATTATCATCGTCATCATGAGCATTATCATCCTTATCCTCATCATCCTCATCCTCATCCTCACCCTCATCCTCATCCCCATCATCAATATCAGCATCATCGTCATCATCATGATCACCACCACCGCCATAATCATCATCATCGACAGCATCAGCATCGTCATCATCACCGTAATCATCATACTCGTCACCTGCATCATCATCAGCATCATCAGCA